ACCGGCAGCCCGGAGCGCGGCCTTTTTGAGGCTGCGGGGAGGGGAGAGAGTTGCTTGAAGGTTGCTCACTCTTGCCTCTCCTGGTACTGACACCCTAGTGAGTGGGAGTGGGGGCTGCCCATGATCTGCCCCCAGCCCGGTTGGTTCTTAACGCCCAGCTTTCTAAAGTATACGCAAAATTTGCAACTGTGTGCGTTTTTTCTAAGGACAGGCTCCTACTTTCCCTTTCATTCTTAAAAGGTGACCATCATCCCCGAAAGGACTAATGTCTTAGGCCTGGACAGCCTGGCCTTCACCATATCTGTTTCTCCCCAAAGACGGTTCAGTGTGGGTGAACTTGGATTTACAAGTCTAATACCAAGATTTCAATCTTCTCTTTTTTTTTTTTTTTTTTTGGTACGGGATGGAACTCAGGACCTTGGGCTTGCAAACAGCTGGCAGAACCACTGAGCTAAATCCCTGGCTATTCATATTTAATGTTTACATTTAAAAGGCTTTTACCATGTCTTTGTTTTTCAGGAAACACTGGCAAACTTGGAGAGACAGATCTATGCTTTTGAAGGAAGCTACCTAGAAGACACTCAGATGTATGGCAATATTATTCGTGGCTGGGATCGGTATCTGACCAACCAAAAGTGAGTGTCAGAAGCCAGCGTTTGTCTTGCACCTTGGCGATATTTATAGGACTGTATGTTCTTGGAGGGAACTTTGCAGGTTGGCAGTGGTAAAATGGTGGTGTGGAGAGAGGTCTGGGTGTCAATTTGAACCCTGGCCTTGCCACTACCTCACTGTGTAACCTTGGACAAGCCTGCGTCTATATACAGGAGAAGTTGGGACCTGTGGCTCAAGGTTGTGTGAGGTTTGATGAAATGTGTGTAGTTCTTACAGCACCTGACCCAAGAGCACACTGTGCTAGTATTTTCCACATTTTAATCAGTCACTAGTTCTACCCTTACAGTTTTTGCCATATGGCAAGTGTGCCACTGTTTACTTGGTGACACTAGTTTGTAAAAATGTCTTAACTTTTGTGAAATTTTTGCATCTATAGAATTGAAAGAAAACAGGATACAAACACTTAGCTCCCCTCACCAGTGTTCACTGTTAGCGTGTTGTCGCATTTGTGCTTTTGCACAGGTCTGCAGACTTTCTGTAGTGTATAAAAACATGTAGGACTCTTGTAGTTTGGAAATATTTGTAGATTCGTAGGAAGTTGCGGAAGGAGTACAAAGAGGCCTCATATAGCCATCACCCAGTTTTGGCCAGGCATTGCATTTCATAAGACTGTGATACATTATCAAACCCAGAAATTGACATTGGTGCAATGTGTGTACACAGTTCTGTGACATCTTTTTTTTTTTTTTTTTTTTTTTTTTTTTTCTGATACCGGGAATTGAACTTGGGACCTTGCGCTTGTGAGGCAGGCAGTGGCACCACTGAGCTAAATCCCCGGCCCTCAGCCTCTTGCTTATTGGGATTTTAGGCCTATGCCACCATGCCAGGTTCACTTTAGTTTTAAGATATAGGAGAGTTAAGGAGGCTGAGGCAGGAGGATCTGAAATTTGAATTCTGCCTGGACAATATATTGAGACCCTTTTTTAAAATGTAAAAATAGGCTGGGTGTGGTGGTGCATGCCTGTAATTCCAGCACTCTGGAGGCTGAGTCAGGAGAATTGCTGCGAGTTTGAGAGCAGCCTGGGCTACACAGTGAGTTCCAGGGCAGTCTGAACTGCATAGTCTCACCCTGTCTCAAAAAAAAGGCCTGGGATATATCTTAGTGTTAGAGTACCCCTCAATTCAGTCCCCAGTACTGCAAAAAAAGAAGAGAAAGAGTCCTTTGTGCCACCTTGCCTGGCAATCATTTTTGTTTTGTTGTGGTACTAGGATTTGAATCTAGGGCCTCTCTGCACATGCTGGGCAAGCATTCTATAAACTGAGCAACATTCATAGTCCTGTGCTAATGATTTTTATTTCTTTTAAACTTTCTTTGGTTTTTTATTTATTTTTTTTTGTTTTGGTTTTTTTTTTGGTACCGGAGATTGAACTCAGGTCCTTGCACTTGCAAGGCAGGTGCCGGAACCACTGAGCTAAATCCCTGGCCCCTTTCTTTGGTTTTTTAAATTATTTGTTTGTTTTGTGTACTGAGGATTGAACTCAGGCACTGTGCCACTGAGGTAAATCCCTGCCCTGGTTTTGTTTTTTATTTTTTGGACTGGGAATTGGACTCAGGTCCTTACTTGCGAGGCAGGCGCGCCCCCCTGAACTAAATCCCTGGCCCTTTTTTTAAATTTTTGTTTGTTTGTTTGTTTTTGTACTGGGGATCGAACTCAGGACATTTCACTTGTGAGGCAGGTGGCAGCACCAACTGAGCTAAATCCGCAGCCGGAGACAGGGTCGTCTTTGCGTAGTTCAGACGAGTTTTCAATTTATGGCATTCCTCCTGCTTCAGCCTCTGGCATCCTGGGATTATGGATGTGTGCCACCATGCCCAGCTGTACTAGTCATTTTTTTGTTTTTTAGTCATTTTTAATAATAAGCATTAAAATGCATTCGTGTTAAGATAGAATGAGGAGGGGTTTGGAATAGGGAGTATGTATTGCCTTACGTTCTGATGACCTGTCATGTTTCTAGGTCCCCTGAATCTCTTAAAAGGAAAATAAATGGGTCGGGGATTTAGCTCAGCGGTTCCACCACCTGCCTCACAAGTGCAAGGTCCTGAGTTCGATCCCCGGTATGAAAAAAGAGAAAAAAAAAAGGAAAGTAAATGTTTGTGGAGCACCTAAAGTAATCTCATCACACACATACCATCCATTGGGAGCATTTGGCCTACAGGTCGTAGGGGTCAGTCCAAGTGGATCAGAGGCATTTGTGTATGGAATCTGTATGGAATCTGGGTAGGGACAAAAAGAAGAGTTCCTTTCCCCCCGTGCAAGGCATTCCCAGTTTAAACCATAGGCGTAGCTTGATGCTTGGAGTGAATTTCTTTTGTGTGTTTTAGAAACTCCAATAGCAAAAACGACCGAAGGAACCGGAAATTTAAGGAAGCTGAGCGGCTCTTCAGTAAATCTTCAGTTACATCGGCAGCTGTAAGTGGTGTGGTGTGTGGGACTCTTTTCTGTGGCCTGTTGTTGAGGAATGTGTTTTCCTTTCCCTTCCTTCCTATCTGGGAGTGGTCTCCTGAGGTCTGTGGTCACTCGTCTAGTAACCAGTGGCTTTTCTTTTAGGCAGTAAGTGCATTGGCAGGAGTTCAGGACCAGCTCATTGAAAAGAGTAAGTGTATGTTTTTCCTTTCTTTGTCAGTTTATGTTGAAGCCACCACAATCCATCCCTAAGTTTAGCTTATTCCGTGTGTATCTGAGGACTGCATCTGTGCTCTTTCCTCAAGTTTCTAAAAGTTGAGAAGCATCCCTAATCATGCCTTTCTTTTTTTTAACTCAATAACATATTTTATTTTAATCAGTGTGTCCAAAAGTTATCATTTTTAACATGGGGTAAACATGAAATGCTTAATGAAATATTTTACATATTCTTTTCTTGTTGAATCTTTAAAATTTCGTGTGTATATTATACTTGTGGCACATCTTGATTCAGACTAGTCATATTTCTAATTCTCAAGAGCTTCAGTGATATATATTTTTACTAAGCCTTGATTGAACATGAGATTGTTGTTATGTACCTCATCAAAATTCTGGAAACTACAAACTTTTGCATAAAAAAATGAACTCAGTTCTTCAAATAGAACATGCTTGTATTCATCACCCTACAGAAGTTATATTTATTTATTTATTGGTAATCATGCCTTTCTTTTGAGCAAGAAACTTTTATGCCCTTTCTGGTCTCTCCTGTCATAGGAAGGTAGCTTTAGCTGCTCAGACGTGCAAAACTTTGTCTTTGTTCCTGCTAAGTCTTTGGGAACTTTTTTTTTTTTTTTTT